GTCTCCTTCTACTTCCTTAATCAAGGGCTCACCATTTTTCCTGAGCCTCTCTTCCGCCTGTCTCCATGCCTACATATTTGTGGAACCCAAATCTTCCTGTCAATCACCTTTCTAAAACTCTCTCTGGTTCCTTATCCCCTCAAGATAAAGTCTTACTGTGGACTACAGGGCTCTTCACAGCCAAACCTCCACCTTGCTTTCATTTGCATTCCATTCAGTCAATAACCTCTGGTGCTTTCCATGTGCTAGACACCAGAAATATGAAATCAAAGGGTCTGGAGTTCACAGGAGAGTGGGGAGTAAACATGCAATTGATGCAATGTGATAGGCTTAGTAGAAACGTAAGAGTCCTCTGAAGACTCTTAATCAACTAGTGGCAACTCCTGTAAGGAGTTATTGTAGAATCAGGACTACAGTGAAACCTCTAGCTTCAGCACTCTTTTTACTGCTTGAAGCAGCCTGGCCAAAATACTTCTGTTTGCCTCAAGAAAATGAAAAAAAAAAAAAAAAATCCACGAAATGGAAAAACACAAGATGATCCATAATGAAAATACAAATTAAGTATTAAAATGCAAAACCCATAAACATTTCTAAGGGGACATTAAATCACAGTGAAGGAGATCATATAAATACTGCATTTATAAGATGGAAGTGCAAGGAGATACTTAACACATGCACAGCCCTGATGATCGTCCGTGACTCATCTATGTTGGTGATTCACACGGTAACACAGAAGACCAAGATAACTACTTACATGCAGATGCTACTAGTACGACTTGGTAGGGAAAAAATGGTACCTCTACCTTTTAATACTCATATCTATAAAAAATTTTAAAAAATGACTTTTTAAAATCTAATGAAAAAATGCACATGTGAAAAACTTGAATTTATTTCAAGGAGACAAGAAACTAGATCTGAGAAACCAGTAAGTGATTTCTAAGATAATTCTAAGAGGATGTAAGAAGGATTTCATGCAAAATTAAGGCAGAGAGAATAGTGAAGGGAAAGGAGATCATAGAGATTTCTGATATGTTCTCTGTCCTCAGAGAATATCGTCTAGGTTTGTAGAACCATGTTTTTAAACTGCAGACTGTAATCAGGTCAAGATAGCCATTTAGTGGGTCATGCTGGTCATTTATTTTAAATGAAAGAGAACATAATCTCATAGAAAATGCCAGGTTGCCACTCACATAGCATGAGAAGTATCAAATTCTGTGTATAACTGTGTGTGCACTTGCATTTTTATTCATTTGCAATGCAAAATACATTTCATGTGGCAAGTTGCAGTCAGGAAAGTTTGAAAAACACCCTTCCTTAAAGGACTTTCCTTAGAAAGGGCTTTATTTTTAACACACTAAACACACTCAATTATGAGTACTGACCCTTTTCTTTGTTCTTGGCATTTGTGCTAAAATTAAACAGAGAATGTTAGTGGAATATTAGAACTGGAAGGAAAAGGCGAATTAGCAGAATGTAAATGAGAGAACTGATAAGAGGAGACCAGAGAGCAAGAGAACGAGATGGATGACCTCTGGTGTTTTTTTCTAAAGACTTTTGCTTGTGATAACTAAGGATTACCTGGATATTTTATGTCCTCTTTAAAGCACTGGATATACAGTAGCTGCTCAAGAGTTGCTCATCCAATGATCTTCTAGAATACCTGCATTCTCTCTATGGCAATGCTAATCATGCAGAGTGATGGCTGTCTTTCCACTGTCAGTCCCTTCCACTTGTAGCAGCTCCTTGGAGGCTGGACTAATGTTTGGTCCATGGCTATATCCCTGCCCTATGACAGTGCCTGACAGACAGCAGGTGTTCAGTGCATTTTGCTTGGATTGTATTGAAAGGCACAACAGACAATATAGTTAGAATACCCATTTGATGCTTGAACCCCCTTGCAAGAACAAACTGATTTCAGTCCACTGACCAAAAGATATGCTAATTATAGAAAAACAACAAGAAAAAAAAAAAGTTTGCAGGGAGCAAACAGCTTGGAACCACCTATGCCTCTTAGTCCAGAGCTCAGGTTTACTCAAAGGACTTGTCTCGACATTTTAGAGAATAAGAGCCCCTTGAAATCTGACAAGTTATTTAGAATATTGAGCTTGGACCTACTTTTCAGACCCAATCTGGCTCCTAAAGACAAAGTGGAGAAGCTTTTTCTAGTGTAGACAGCTTGAAGGCAACAACCACTTGAATCCAAAGCTGCTGAGCTATTTCAGAGATCCTGTCCACATTGCTAACTAGAGCAGGCAGAATGCCCGGGAGGGTCCAAAGTAGAGGGCTAGATGTAGAGAAGCAGTCAACAAGGTCAAATAATTCAACAATAAATCAAGCGCTGGTTTCTTCCTCACAAGAAGCCCGGGATAAAAAAAAATGAGAAGACTCTAGGAAGCTCTTTGCCTTCCTCACCCCTCTTCAGCTCCGTCATGCCTCCATGCCTAGGTCTAGGTATTCAAACCAGCTCCTAATAATGCAGCTGTTTGTGGGGGGTCATGAAGGATGCCCTGAGCATGGAAAGGCATGCAGCAAGTTATCAGTGGGAAGATGAGTAAAAGATGCCCTTTATTAAAGGGTTAATTCAAATTCAAATTTAAAGGATTGCTCCCTAGTTAATAGGTGCTCATCTCAGCCAGGCAAACCTAAAAACATGGCTATTATCAGAAGAAAGTCATCTTTATCAAGGAAACAGATGAGTATTAAAGGTAGAGAAAAATGCCCTTTCATATCAGATATACTAATGCAATGGTTTTTACCTTCATGTGTCCTATTTATATACAGTCACATCTCACTTCTCTGTGTTAAGGGGGCAAGGAACAGAGTAACTCTGGTCCGCAGAGTTCAAGGGATACCATGGAATCTGGTATCCATAGATACTTTGGCAAACAGGTTCAGCCTCCATTCCCTACCCAATTTCTTTTTGCCTGTTTTTTTGTTTTATTTTGTTTGAGTTTTTTTGTTTCGTTTTGTTTTGTTTTTTGAGACATGGTCTCCTTCTGTCACTTGGGCCTCAGGCTAGAGTGCAGTGATGTGATCATGTCTCACTTCAACCTCCGCCTCTGGCTCAACTGATCCTCCCACCTAAGCCTCCTGAGTAGTTGGGATCACAAGCATATATCACCATGCCCATCTAATTTTTGTGCTTTTGTGGACACACAGTTTTGTCACATTGCCCGGCTGGTCTCACGCTCCTGTGCTTAAGAGATTCACCTGTCTCAGCCTCCCAAAGTGCTGGGATTACAGGCATGAGCCCCTGCACCCAACCTCCCTACCCGATTTCTATCCCACTCTCCTTTTGACCCTCTGTCAGTGTATGCTGAAGGAATATAAATCATCCTTGGATTAACCTAAGCAAAATGTAATCAAGAGAGCCAGTTGGCTTTGGGCCAGAAAACAAGAAGGAAGCTACATATCATGTACTCCAAAGTCAAGCAGGAACAAAGTTGGGGCCTTTCTTTTCTTTCTTTCCTTCTTTCTCCTTCTTTTTCTTTCTTTACTTCTTTCTCTTTCTTTACTTTCTTCTTTTCAATACTATCTATATCTCTATGTAGTTTGAATCTCAACTCTCACTTCAGCCTCAGTTTTCTAATAAATCATTTGTAAAAGATAAGACACATGTCTACAGTGTCTACCAGTATCTGGCAACTTAATGGGTCAGCATACTATGTTAATTACCATCAGAACTGTAGTATTACAAAATGGATTAAAGCAGAGGTTTTAGAGTCAGAGGGACTTCAGAATGCTGGCTCCATGGACCTCACCAGCCATGAGGAAATTTCTTTAACCCCTTTGAACTTTAACTGTCTCATCTACAAAATGGGGATAATAAAACCATTTCATAGGGTTACTGTAAGGTTGAAATGAGTGTCTGTGTGTCAAATGCTTGGCACAGAGTAGATGACCATAAATGATAGCTATTATTATGATGGTGGCTTGCCCCTTTAGATACATGGTCCCAGTAAAGAGCTGTCCTCTAGCTAGCTCAGAAAACCAGACACATTTTTTAAAAGCCACTGATGCTCAATGTCCCAAATACCAGCACATTCTCCCACATCCCTGCTCCTCCTCCCACACTCCCTATTACTGTGGACGGTGTGCCAGCTTCCCTGTTAACCATGTAAGAAACCTATAGTCCTCGTTGACTCCTCCTTCTCCGCCACAGCAAATCTGTCATCCAGTTCCAGTGATTCTACTTCTTAAATATCTCAACTCCATCTGCTTCTCTCCATCTGCTTGCCATAATATTAGTTCAGGCCACCATCAACTTGCCTCTAGATAACATGCCTCCCACCTGGCCTCCTTACCCCAGCCTTCCCGCTTCAATCCACTCCCCAAGCTGCAACTACTGTCATCTTTCTAAAGTACAAATCTCAGCATGCCTCTCCCCTGCTTTCAGCTTTTCATTGGCTCCCCCAAATAAAATCCAAGTCCCCTAAGTGGCTTCCAGAGCCTGCCGTGATCTGCCTAGTGTTTGGCTCCCTCCCCAATCTGATGTCTCACCAATGTCCCTCCTTGTTCTGTGGCTCCAGCCACACTAAAATAATTTGTAGTTCCCCAGGTGAGTCATGAATTTCTCCCTCTGCAAGGATTTGACACATGCTATCCCCTCATTTTAGGATATTTCATCCCTTCTCTTCTCCATGCTAACTCATTCTCAATTTTTAAGTTTTAGCGTAGGCACAGGAAGCTTTCCCACTTGAACACCGGCTTAGATGTGCCTCCCATGGTACTGCAAATATCTGCTTATTTGTTCATCTTCTACACTAGACTGGGAGCCCCTTGAGGACAAAACATATTTTTGTTACTGAAATACTCCCTGGACATCAAACAGCAATTGGCACAAAACAGGCTTTCACTGTTTGTTGGATAGATAAGTGCATATGAGCAATTGGCCCTGTCCTGTGGAGCAATCTCTGGCTGAACATGGCAGTGGCATTGAGCTGCCCAGTAGCTAAAGCAACCCCGGTTACCTTTGCCCATCCATCAAAGCCAACACCTACCTAGGATGGCCACCACTTCATCATCTTGGATCACCTCCAGGGAGCCAGAGACCACGAAGCAGAGGCTGTCAACGCTCTCTCCTGCATGGTAGATGAGGTCTCCTGGGGCGCAGTGCACCGTCTGGAACTCCATGGCCAGGGCCCGGAGGCAGCCATCACTGGCCAGCCGGAAGGCTGGGTGCTCCTTGAACACCTTACGGTTCAGGTGCACGCAGATGTCGGCTCTCATGTCCTTGGGGCAGATCTGTAGGACCTAGCCGGGCACAGAAAAAAATAAAAAAATAAAAAAATAAACAGTATGAGGGTCCTCACTGTGGCCTTCAGTCCACACCCTTTAGCACTCCAGGGGGAGGAGCAACATTTACTGCACCAGACTGCACTCCACTAGCCAAAGTCGCTGCCCTCGTGGAGCTTACATTCTTATAGAGGAGAGAGGTGCTATCTAAAAAAAAAAAAAATCTGTGCTAAATGTTCAGGATGGGGACCTGAGAGTCAGCACTGGGAGTAAGCGGGACTCCTGTAGAACAGGGTCGGAGAAGGCTTCTCTGGAAAGGTGACATTTAAGCTGACTCCTGTATAAGTGCCAGAGTGAGTGATGTGAAAGAAGAACATTCCAACAGGATAGCAAACACAAAGGCCCTAAGAGAGCCGATGCAACAGCCAAAAGGAGTGAGGGCAAAGGGGCAGGAGGTGAGGATCAGAGACAACACCAAGCACAAGAGACTTTTAAGCTGTTTGATAAGCCTTGGGCTTCATTCCAAGTATGATCTGGAAATACTGGAGGATTTTTGAGCAGGGGAGTGTCATGACCTGACTTACATCTGAAGATCACTGAAACTGGAGTGAGGCTAGAGAGGGTGGCAAGTGTCTAGTCAAGGAACCCAGTTAGGTCCCTCCTGCAGCTGTCCCGGTGAGAGAGAGGAGAGGGGAACTTTGACTGGGATGACGGCAGGAGAGCCAGTGAGAAGCACTTAAATTTAGAAGATATTTTTAATGTAGAACTGACATGATATGCTGATGGACTGAATACAGGGTGTTACTTAAAGACAGATGTAAAGCAGCATTTACTAAGCACTTACTGAGTGGCAGGCATTGCTAAGCACTTTAGAATCATTCATTCGTTTAGCACTTACCAAACACATTATGGTATGCTAGGCAGCATCCTAGGCTCTGAGGATGAAGCCGTTAGAAAAAAAAAACAGAAAAGACAAATATCCCTGCCCTGGTATAAGTTACCATCTACCAGGAGGAGACAAATAATAAGCAAAATAAAACGTAGCAGTAAGTACTTAAAAAAAGGAAAGAAGGATAGGCAAAGTTGAACGGGGGTTGGGATTTTACTTAAACTGTTACGTGCATTGGCTAATTTAATCCTCCCATAAACCGTAGAAGTGCTATTATTATATCATTTTACAGATGAGAAAACTGAGGCACAGGGAAGATAAATAACTTGCCAAAAATTGCACAGGCAGGAAATGGCACAGCTGGGGTTTCAAACTAGGGAGCTTGACATCAGAGCCCAGTTTAGATCCCAACAAATTCCTATACTAGGCAGCTGCCCAAAACAATAGGCTCGTAATTTTATTATCAACATCTCGGCAGCATCTCAGAATTCAAGCCAACTGGAAACTGTAGGAGGCTATGTAGGTCTCATCTTCTGAAAAAATTAAAAATTGACAGGTTTTTCTAGAGGGAGAAATATTTCTCTGGACTAAATGTTTGCAATAAACCATTGCATGGCCCCTTGCATAGCAAGCATTAAGTATGTACACCTTCAATCAGACTTCTCCAGAGAAAGCAGAAGTACTTCTAAAATAACCCATTCTCCCATCCTAGCTTATGAGCAAAGCTAGGGGCATAAAATCAAACATGTTCAGTGATGACATTTTTCTTGAGGTTCTGGACACTTTCCTACCCTGCTTCTCTGCCTTAGCACAAGCCATTTGCCACTAAATCTGGTGCTTATCCCCAAATTTGGAAGACTTTCAGCCTCCTTCAAATTCCAGCTCAAATCTCACCTCACCCCTGAAGGCTTCACTTACATCCCCACCCACTCTGGTGCCCCTGCGCTCTCCCTGAAGGTACAGCAGTGGAAAGAGGTCAAAGAGTTGAAGTCCCAGCTCCCTCCCCTCCAGGCGGCACTTCTGTTTCTCCTGTAAAATGCAGACTGTTCACACTGACTCGTGAGAATTAAATGAAATTGTATCTACCAGTACACAGCCTGGGACAAAGCCTGGCCAAGGTAGGGGATTCAGTAAGCACAGATGCTCTTGCTCTCTGTGCCTCTGCATTCTTGATCTGGGCTTGTAGGATGCCCAGCCAGTGAGCATGCCCTCTGGGAATACAGATGCAGAAGAGTCCAAGGCAGAGAGGAAAATTGAGAGTGCCAATGCTTGGGCAGAGCACTTACTAAGGATTTACCTCTATTAGGCTCATTAAAAACAAGACTCCTGGCCAGGTGCAGTGGGCTTATGCCTGTAATCCCAGCACTTTGGGAGGCCGAGGCAGGATCATAAAGTCAGGAGTTCAATACCAGCCTGACCAACATGGTGAAACCCCGTCTCTACTAAAAATACAAAAATTAGCAAGGCATGGTGGCACATGCCTATGATCCTGGCTACTCAGAAGGCTGAGGCAGGAGAATGGCTTGAACCTGGGAGGCAGTGGTTGCAGTGAGCCGAGATCGTGCCACTGCACTCCAGTCTGGGCAACAGAGTGAGACTCCATCTCAAAACAACAACAAAAAAAGACTTCTGCAGAAATGCAGATTCAATTTAGTTCCTCTGCTCTCCAAGCAGATCACTAGGTAATGGGGAGCATTCACATGTCATGTCAAAACTGTGCCCAGTAGTTTGGAACAAAGATTTATTCTCCAGGTGAGTTACCTTTAATACCTTTAAATATTTAGTTTCCCCTGGGCTAGACTTTACTCTTCTCCTGGAATAGGCTGCCAGTGAATGAGGTCTTGGTATGGAGACAGTTTTATTCATGGGCACTGTTCCCAGAGCCAAAAGAGAGTATAGTGTGAGCAGATGAGGGACCTGGAGGGGAGAAATTGCAGACTGGCACAGCCATCAGTCATTTCCAACATTCTTCCTATCTATTGGCTCTACACTGAGGTGGGTGGGACATCTGGAATTCCCCTCTCTGGGTGGAGTGTGGAGGTCTCAACTCTGAGACCCTGCAGTATCCCTGGGCCACCTTTCCTACTGCTTGGTTCTGAAAAGAGACCATCCTTGCTCTTTCTTGAAGGTCTCAAAGGCCAAAGGGAGATGTCACTGTGGAATCTCCTTCAAGCTAGGCAGGACAGGAGTCCTGGGTAAGAGAAGAGGCATTAGGATCAGGTAGAACTGGGTTCAAGTTCCAGCCTCAGTGCTCATTAGATGCTCGAATGCGAAGCAATACTTAGCACCTCTCCCCATGTCTTCATTTTTTGGAAACTGCATATAGAATTCTTCTGAGGATTTCATGAGCTGTTCTGTGGAACGTCCTAGCATAATGCCTGACACATGCAAGTGTTCATTGCCTGTGAGATCTCATTTTTGATACCGTCATCACAGCAGCAGCAGCAATTTCAGGGAGGCTTTGAAGTCCAGAAGATCACAGCCAAAAGGTTTTAGAGGTCCCTAGTCTTAAAGATCATGTTTCCATGTGCTACCTGGGAGGCAGTGGTTGCAGTGAGCCGAGATCGTGCCACTGCACTCCAGTCTGGGCAATAGAGTGAGACATGTAAACACGCTTGGGGAAAGACAAGTGATGTGCTCAAAGTCACCAGTGAATAGCTGGTAAAACTGGGGTATCCCAGCACTGCCACTGCCATGCCCTGGCTCCCTGGTCATCACTGACCATTCTGACCTAGATGGGAGGGGAGGGGCAGATGGGGAGAGGCACAGGACGACAGGACTGGTTCTCTCCCCCGCAGCTGCCTGCCACAAGTTCCTGCCCAGAGGAGCAGCCAGCCCAGGCCAGACTGGGCGCCGGAGTGAGTTGCCACAGCTGAGTCCATGACTATTCCCTCTTCCATCTGGACCCGAACCTGGGGCAAATCCCAAAGCCCTCCAGGAAAGTGAGGGCAGATCTGCAGGGAGGGGAAGAGAGGGCAAATGCTGACAGTGCTGTCTCCCATGGGCAGTCGCCCAGCCAGCCCTACAGTGAGGGTGGGGAAGGGCTTCTTTCCAGACAACCAGACTTACAAAGGCATCCTGGTGCCTGGGAAAAGGAGCCCTAGGGCAGAGAGATCAAAGTTCCTTTCTGCTCCATCAGCTGCCAGGAACCCACAGAACCTACAGGCATTGTTGAGAGAACACAGCAGAAACAACAGGCGTAGTTGGGGCAGGTGGTTGGCAAAGCCAGTGACTAAGCTCAGCTCCAGCTGATGCCCTGCCCATCCAAGAAAGCAGAATGACTCTTTGGACTCATCCTTCTCTCCAGTACAAGCTTTAAATTGTTTTTAAGTAATACTAGGAAAAGCACAAGCTTTGAAGTCAGACAAAATGGTGTCAAAATCCTGGTTTTGTCATTCTTTACTCTGTGACCGGGGCAGTTAGTAAAGTGAATTGGGCCTCTTGTTCTTACCCCCTTCAACAGGGAAAACAGGGTTGCTGTGGAGCCTAAATGAGACACTCGTGCAGGACCAGGCACATAGAAGCACAACAAATATCTGCGCTTAATGCATGTTCAAGAAATGGTAGCTGAGGATGTAGTAGTGGTGTTGCGGTTATTACAGCAAATAGCAAAACCAAAGTAATGTTCCTTTCAAGTTGAGGACTAAATTTAGTTCCATTTTTCCTTTTAAATGGTCAGCTCTCAACTGAGATTCTAATGAAAGAAGACAGGAACATCAATAGCCGATCCCAAAGCCAGTTGACTTTGGTTTGCAATGTGTCCTTAGGTATCTTTGCGATAGTGTTATCTTTCCGTTTTCCTCACTGTTAACAGTCGACGGAAATGAGTATGCCCTGAGTACTTACAGACTGGAGAGGAAAAAGAATTGATGAAGACTGAGAAGCAGAGAATGAATATTTAATCTCAATGGATCTGAGATTAAATCTTTGCTTACAGAAAATATGCACAGAAAATTCATAAGTGAATAACAGGAAGTCACTGTATGGTTTCTCTATTATTTCCAGTACCACCAAATTTTCATCACTCTACTGAAATGCATCTAGAATAATACAACTCTTAGAGAACAATAGGAATTTATCACCCTCTCCATTTTACAGGTGGGAAAACAAATAATTAGAGAGATGCCTAATTGATACTCTGGTCAAGTCAATTGATGATTAAGGCACAAACTCTTGATTACTGTTTCCTGGACTTGTCTTATGAATAGGGTTGCCTGGGCACTTGTTAAAAATGCTCCCTCATTTCCCTAAGTTCTCATTCCATACATCTGGTGATGACTGGGATTGTTTTTAAGGGTGCTTGTTAAAAATTCTCCTTCACCTCCCTCAAGTTCTCATTCCACAGATCTGGGATGGAGGCTGAGATTGTTTTTAATGATGATATCATGGGATTCTCTGTTTGAGACAGGGTATCACTCTGTCACCCAGGCTGGAGTGCAGGGCGCTGTCTCCAGGTTCAAGTGGTTCTCCTGCCTCAGCCTCCTGATTAGTTGGAACTACAGGCACATGCCACCATGCCGGGCTAATTTTTTGTATATTTAGTAGAAATGGGGTTTCGCCATGTTGGCCGGGCTGGTCTCAATCTCCTGACCTCAAGTGATCCACCTGTCTCAGCCTCCCAAAGTGCTGGGATTACAGGCCTGAGCTGCTGCATTGGGGCTGACATCATGGGATTCTTATCAGGGTCAAGATGGTGAGCTGAGTGAGGCAATAGCCTTCGGCACACAATTTAAGGGTATGCCACCAAAAAAAAAAAAACCGGTAATCAAGATAAATCATAGTTTATTTTTTTAAAAGCAAAGTTAATACAAAAAATCTATTGTGAACAAAATATCAAAAGTTTGAATAAAAACAAGATCAGTAACAGGGCTATGCTATCTTCAAGGCTGGGGTAAAAAGAAAATTGGCAATACTGATCTCCCTTCTCCAGTCATAGCCCTGATTCATATCATCATCCAAGTTTGGGAAATTCTACCCTGGACAGTTAGACTTCCAGCTCCTCTCTTCTCCAGGAAATACACTCTGCCTTTCTAATTTCTTAAATAATGGTTTTTGATTGTTGGTCTTGGAGTAAGGCTGATCCAGAAGCAACCAAAACCTCTGGAGGTAGGACCTGGAATCCCAAAGTACTCAAGTGAATTCTGAACAGCCAGGTTTGGGAGCCACTGCCCTAGGCAAGCATCTACCCACCAGCCCAAGGAAACCAAGAAACATATGGTTTCCCTGAGCTCCTCACCCTCCTTACCTTCTCTGTGTCAATGCCTCTGGACATGGACCAGGTGGACACGATATAATCCATGACTCGCTCACTCAGTCCTTTTGGCACCTGGTAGAGCTTCAGGAAGTCCCGAACGCTGTTGAGCATCTCATGGTATCTGTTGGTGTTGGCATACATCTGTTGGAAAATGGTCGTCACATTCCCAAAGATGGTGGCGTAGAGAAGTGCTAGAGGTGAGGAGGAGGAGCAAGAGAAGAAATAACATGTGAGTGGTCCCTAAGCCAGGGTTCCAGAATGCTCAGCTTGCTCAGAGTAGGCCAATGGCCAGAGATGCCCCTCCCCAGTGCAGACTGCCCTGGCTATTCTCAGGAAACCCTCACACCTGGAGCCTCTGGGGCATGGATGCAAAGAGCCTCCTAACACCAAGCTACTACTATGAGAAACGTGTGGGAGACAGGGCTAGGGTGGATGGGAGCTGGCATGGCCAGGGCCAGAGCTAAGACACAAATAGCAGCAGAGGCTAGGCAGTGGGTCACGGGGGAGTTGCACTGCTTCATTTTATACTTCCTGTCACAAAAAGTTGGAGCCATGCCTGAGGTCCCTAGTCAAATGCATGCCTATGTGCTCCATACCAGTCAAAATCCAAACCCATCAGTCAATGATCTTTATCAAGCTCTGCTATGTGCCAAGCACTATGCTACCTGCCAAGGACAGGATGGTGAACACTCAGATCTGGTCCTCACAGAGCAAAAAATAGAACAGGAAGGACAGACCTTGAATAAATAATCACAAATAATTAAATAATAGCAAGTCTGCAGAGGGCAGTGAAGGATGTTATATCCTTGTTTTGCACTTATTGTTAGTACAACAATCTGCTTCACTGTGATGTGGCTCCTGGGGGAAAAAAAACATAGCTTTAATATGGTAAGAATAAAATCAAGTCCCCTTTGAGACATAACCAGTATGTACTGTGTGCTACTACTGCTCCCCCTACATTCACATTAGGAAGAAGGACCATTATGTTATTACAAAATCCCACCTTCTCTAATTTCCATTGCTTAATGCTGAGCTCAAGAGCCACTGCTTCCAAGAAACCTTCCTAAACACCTTCTGCCACCATGAGTCTGACCCTGATTTATCAGGCATATTTCTATAGAACTCATATTACATCATTTTGCAATCATTTCTGCAGAACTCAGATTACACCATTTTGCAATCATGTGCTTCTTTCTTTGCCTGCTCCCTGACAGTGTTGAGTTGCTTAAAGGCTAAACCCATCTTTTCCTTGCCATTGTATCTGTAGGATCTAACACTATACCAGTACTTAATAAGTATTTGCCAAATTTCACACATTGCTCTGGCTTTTTAAAAGATGGTTATTATTGATATATAATAAACTACACATGCTTCAAACATACAATTTGCTATGTTTTGACATATATACACCAATAAAACCATCACCACAATCAAAATAGTGAACATGTCCATCACCCCCAAAAGTTTTGTCATGCCTCTTTGTAATCCCTCTCTCCATCCCTACCTGCTTTCCACCTACCATCCCCAAACAACCACTGATTTCCCTTCCATCACCATAGATTAGCCTTCTTTTTCTAGAATTTTATATAGATGGAATCATACAGTATGTACTCTTGTTAAAATCTTAAGATACAATTCATACGCCATAAAACGCATCCATTTAAAGTGCAAAATTCAGTGGTTTTTCATATATTTACAGAGTTGTGCAACCATCACCACAATCTAAATTTAGAATATATTCCTCCCCAAAGAAATTCCATACCCATTACCAGTTATTCTCCATTTCCTGGCAAGTCCCTTGCCCTAGGCAACTGCTAACCTACTTTCTATTGCTATAGATTTGCATGTAAGTTAAAATCATACAATATGCAGCCTTCCGTGACTCACTTCTTTCACTTAATGTTTTCCGTTCATCCATGTTGTGGCATGTATCAGTAGGTCATTCTTTTTCATTTGAATGCTATGCTATTGTATGGATATACCACAGTTCATTTATCCATTCATCAGTTCACGGGCATTTCAGTTGTTTCTGCTTTTTGGCTATTATAAACATTCATGTGCAAGTTTTTATGTGAACACATTTTCAATTCTTTTGGGTATATACCTAGGAATGAAATTGCTGGGTCATACAGTTACTATGTTTAACATGTTGGAGAAATTGTAGAATTAATTTCCAAAGTAACTGCACCACTTTATATGCCTGCCAGCAGTATATGAGAGTTCCAGTGTCTCCATATCCTCCTTAACATTTGTTTTGTGTCTTTTTCGATGATCACCTTTCTAGTGAGTATGACTTGCCATCTCACTGCGGTTTTGATTTATATTTCCACAGCAGCTAATGATGTTAAGCTTCTTTTCACGTGCTTATTGGTCATTTATGCATCTTCTTTGGAGAAATCAAGTCTTTGCCCATTTTTCAATTGAATTTTTTATTGTTGAGTTGTAAGAATCTTTTATATCATCTGGATATAATTTCCTTCTAAGATAAATGATTTTCAAATACTTTCTCACATCACATGGGATGTCTTTTCACTTTTTTTGGTGGTATCATTTATAGCACAAAAGTTTCCAGCTTTGATGTAACTCAATTTACTTATTTTTTTCTTTTGTAGTCTCTTTTGACTGGTTTATTTCATTCAGAATAATTACTTTGGGATTCATCCATGTTATTGCATGTATTGTTTAATAACAGTTCATTTCTCTTTTTAAATACAAAAAGTAAACATTTTACTTTGAAATAGAAATTCACAAGAAGCTTTGGGAGGCTGAGGTGGATGGAAGTCAGTAGTTCAAGACCAGCCTGGCCAACAAGGTGAAAGCCCATCTCTACTAAATATATATATATATTAGCTGGGCATGGTGGCATGCACCCATAGTCCCAGTTCTTTGGGAGGCTGAGGCAGGAGAATCACTTGAACCCAGGAGGCAGAGGTTGCAGAGAGCCAAGATCACACCACTGCACTCCAGCCTGGGTGACAGAGCAAGACTCTGTCTCAAAAAGAAAAATCCAAAAGAAGTTGCCAAAATAGTACAGAAAAAGTCTGTGTATCCTTCACCCAGTTTCCCCCATTAATTATAGCTTACATGACTACAGCACAATATTAAGAACAGACTGACATTGCTATAAAGTAGATGTACAGTTCTGTGTCACTTTATCACATGTGTAGACTCATGTAACCAGCACTGCATTCAAAATACAGAATTCTTCCCTCACCACAGAGGTCTCCTTGTGCCTCCCCTTTATGGTCATGCTGTCGCCAGCAATCACAACGTTTTCTCCTTTATTATAATTGTGTCATTTTAAGAATGTTATAAAAGCCAAGCACAGTGACTCATGCCTGTAATCCCAGCACTTTGGGAACCCACAGTGGGCAGGTCATTTGAGGCCAGGAGTTTGAGACCAGCCTGGTCAATATGGCAAAGCCCTGTGTCTACTAAAAATACAAAAAAAAAAAAGAAAAGAAATAAAGAAACAATTTAGCCAAGCATGGTGCACATGCCTATAGTCCCAGCTACTTGGGAGGCTGAGGCAGGAGATCACTGGAACTTAGGAGGTGGAAGTTGTGTAAGCCAAGATGGTGCCACTGCAGTCCAGCCTGGGTGACAAAGTGAGACTCTGTCTCAAGAAAAAAAAAAAAAAGGTTACAGAAATGGAATAACACAGTATGTGACCTTTGGAGATTGTCTTTTTTTCACTCATCAAAATCATCCAAGTTGTTGCATGTATCAATAGTTTTTTTTTCTTTTAGTTGATGAATACTATCCCATTGTATGGCTGTACCACAACCATTTCTTCCAAATAATCTTATTGAGGGTTATCTGATGTACTATGGGAGGCAAAAATGTAAGAGAGAAATGTATGGATCTAGAGATAAGGGAAGGACTGAGAATATAAATCCACCAAAAGAGAGTTGTAAACAAGGATCAAAGAGTTCTCTAGAAAAGTACCAGGGAAGGGTGTCAATCTGAACAAAAGGAGCCAGACAAAAAGCAGACACTAGCTCTTCTAAGCTCATAGAAAGCCTCATAACAATGAAGTTGAAGGTCCCGCCTCCTCCATGCCAGTAGTTATATGAAGTGTGGTCATCCTTCTAGGAGATGGGCTGACTCTAACTCAACAAGCCTATGTGGACAGTCCTGCTTCAGCTTTCTTTCTTCATTCACAATGAACCAAAGGTCATGGGCAAAGAGTACAGGTGCCTTTTTTAGGATGGCTGCCAGAAAATTTATTTAATCTTGAGCTTAAAGCAACAGTTACACCAAATCAATATAGTTAAGAATAGCTCTCTTGTCCATGATCCTAGAGAACCAAGCAGCAGGTCAGATGTCAAGCAGTGATGCACAACCATCATTTACATCTCAGGGTTCCTTTTGTTCCAGGTTGCTTCTGAGGCATTCTGGAAGGTTAAGGGTCCTCAGGAGGCCCTTGCTCAATGATGATTACTATTATGAAACATTATTACACTAAAAAGTGGATAATTCTACTCTCAGTGTCCCTTCCTTATTTGTTTTCCCCTTATTTATTTTTTTAATCGTGACATTTTCTCACAATATTGCCCAAGCTGGTCTCAAACACCAGGCCTCAAGCAATCCTCCTACCTTAGCCTCCCAAAGTGCTGCAATTACAGGTGTGAGCTACCATGCCCGGCCCTTAATTTTATACGAAGGGGGATTACATGTTTTTCATGCATGTAACATTTAGTTTATTGGTATCTTACACATAAAGCATTATACCTTTAAATGCCAAAAACCTAACTGGGAGAGAAGACGTGTAAGTCCAGTTGTCACTTGAATAGATGTATGAGTGTGACGTGGAGAGGAAGGGAGGAAGATTGTAATGTCACTGTCAGGAGAATAAAAAAGCCAGAATGAACCTCCCAGCACACAAGGTGTTATGGATGGCTCCAAATATGGATTCCTTGGGTACTTCTGTTTTGGGGAACTAAAGAGACCTTCCTCAACCTCAAGGCAAAATGCTGATTTGAAGAAGAGGAGGTTTCTTTCTTATTTGATTGGTTTAGAGTTTATATTGTATCACAGCAAGAGCTCTGGTTCCTATCCAAAAAGGAAGAAAGGAGAAAAGATAGTTTTCTCCAACCCTTAATTAGAAATAGCTATATGGAATCTGGCGGGGCAATGTGGTGGGGAAGGGTATAGCAAAAACACATATCTTATTGATTTCATTTTCTTA